CTGAGAGACCGGGCTCTAGGGTTTGGGCTGGGAACTGAAGAGCAGGTTTCTGAGCAGAGGGACCTGGACGTGATTGTAGGACCCGAGAAAGAGAAGGGGAAAGGAAAGGAGAAGGGAGCCTGAAGGGGAGGGACCTCAAAGATGGGGAAAGGGCGGGGAAGCGAGTCGGGGCGCCGGGCCCTGGCCGGTGGGGTGAAGCCAGCGGGCTGGGCGCTCCCAGGGTCACCCGGGGTCGGGGTGCGCGGCCTTGGGGGATGCAGGTCCCCTCTGGCAGCGCTGCCTGCTGGCAATGCCTTTGCAGCGTGGACGCGGTGAGTCCGGCGTGGGTCAGCGCAGCCCGCGAGGCCGGGTGAGGATGCCCGTTGGGCCCGGGAGCGTCCTCGGGAGGCCAAGAAGCCTCACGCCCTGGGCCTCGCGCCCAAGCCCAGTCCAGCTTCGCTCTCGGTGAAATGGGCTGGGTCGGGCCCTGACCCCTTGGAGACACCGCAACGGCGCTGCGGACCGTCTGGGAGCTGTAGCCCGCGGGCGCCAGGTGCTCGGTTTGTAGGCAGTGTAATTAGCTGATTGTATTCTGGTGCTTACAATCACTAACTCCACTGCCATCAAAACAAGGCACAGCATCACTCGCCGCCCCGCCTGGAGGAGGACGCCAGCCTCGGCAGCAAACGCCCCCTCGGCGCCGGACCCGAGGTGTTTAAGGAGAAAGCTACGCTTGGAGATTTGATGCGTCAGCAGTTGTCTCGAACAGTGCTCCTGAGCGAGCACGTTGCCAAAGTACGAGCAAGCCTATGGAAATTCCGGCTTACTTTTCTAGATACAGTTAAATTATTAACTATGAGTAAAAGTAAGATTGTAGTCTCATGTAAGGAAAACGAAATGTGTGGGATTTAATGACTTTTTCAAAGATTTTTACATAAAGGCATTTAAACTGCTTGGAGGATCCTGCTATATAACGTTTAAATCTGTATACTGAGATTCATTGTGCTTATTTTTCATTATTTAATAGGCTAGTCACTAACCTAACGACTAAGCTACTGCTTAACCTATCAGAGTTTATGTAAGCACCACTTTAAGATTACAGTTTGTGACAGAAATTACTTTTCTATGAGTCTAGTTACTAGGCAGTGTAGTTAGCTGATTGCTGAGAGTACCAATCACTAACCACACAGCCAGGTAAAAAGATTTAATTCGTCCAAGTGAGCTGTCAATGCAACATTAGTGTGTAGAGGTGTGTGTGTTGGGAGGGGGATTGCTATATGCTCATATTATCCATTGCCTAAGCTCTGGGCAGAAAGAAAGTAACATGTTAGCTACCTACTAAAATATACAATGTATGAGATAGAGAGGTGTAATTTTTCATTATTCCTTCAGACTCTTATCCAAAAAGTTTTAGATACCTTAACACTGGCAAGTAGGACTTTTTTTTTTTTAACTGATATATGTCTTTATATAGTCTTCTGATTATCAACTTTTGAACTTTCTGTAAGACAATATTGTAATAATACTTTGAAAGATTAAAGTCCTGCTGAAACAAACATAAATTATGGTTATTACCACGTGTCCATTTCCTTTCCTAAACTGACTCTATCATGCCCATCTCAGTTCCTATCATACTTATCAAAACTTTTCTATTGCTGAAAGTTATTGTTCCTAGATAAACAAAATCTCCCAGGAAAACTATTCACACACACATTTGTTAGTATTTTGGTAAGAATACATCAACACAATTTTTCAAAATGTATTTTTCATTAAGGGACTCAACCCACTCAGATATATCTAGTCTTTTAGTAATCTTTACATCTGTTGCATTTTAGGCAGGTTTTAGTGAAAATTATTAGTAGCCGGAGTTAGGAATCTAAATCAAGCTTACTTTGTAAGATTTGTCTGACTGGACTTGAAGAAAAGAGTGTATGACAAAACCTATAAACAAACTACCTTTTGGCCCAGTTCATACTTCTAGTTCTCCCATAGGCTAAGACATAAGCCTCTATTGAAATTTCCAGCAAATGCAGGCCCCAGAATTTCCACGTAGGGCGTTGTTGAGCCTTGGCAATCTAATGTGGAAGAAGAGATTGGGGCAGTGGGGCAAAGGAATTTAACGTTTTAGATTTCCTTTCAGGGGAGGGAATTTGGGAGGTAGAGGGCTGCCTGAGGATGTGAGGATAAACTGCTGCCCCACTGAGTCCAACAGGACAGGGCACGCCCCCCTGTCCCGTTGACGTGTTGACTATTCCATTTCCAACGTTTGGATTGGCCCGCAATCTCTGGTCACCGCAGAAGTGGGCTTCAGAACGCCCAACAAGAGTGCGCTAGTCCCCAATACCTACCAAGAAGACTAAGGTCTTCCGGCTGCTGTTGCTTCCAACTGTGCAGTTCTCTGGAGGACGCGCCTGGGGGAAGGAAGAGAGAGCTGAGAGAAGCGTCCAGAGTTGCCATGGAGACGCCGTCCGGAGGAAACTCCAGCAGCCTAGACGAATCGGATGAAACTTTCCCACACGGACCACTGGTGTTTGCCAACTCCTCCGAACAGGACGTAAACTTGGCCAAACAGTTCTGGATCTCGGCGTCGCTGTCTCCAACTAAGGAATCTCAGTTGGTGGTGTCCAGAGGTAGCAGGCAGCGTCTGCCGGTGGCGCGGGCCTCTGGGTGCAGTGTGCCAGGTGAGTTGTTGCCTCCTGCCGTTGATTTCTGCTTCCAACGTAATCAAAGTGGAGTATAACATTGACGCAATGGTTAAACGCTGCTCTGCTAACAGAAAAGTGAGCGGTTGGAACCCACCCAGCGGCTCCGTGGAAGAAAAGACGTGGCAATCTGCTCCCACAAAGATTACAACCTAGGAAATCCTGTGGGGCAGTAAAGATTATAGCCTAGGAAGTCCTATGGGGCAGTTCTTCTCTATCATAAAGGGTCACTATGAGTCAGAATCGACCATACCGCACACCACAACAAACCTAAAAAGAAACTTTTCTTTCAAATGTTTTAAACACTATGCAAATAGTTCCAGCAGTCCTTCCACTGGAAAAGGATCAGCGGTATGGTTATTATGTCTAATAGTACATCTTAAAGTATCTCTTAAGTTATGGCATCTCTGGCCAAATGATATAGAATAATCTGAGGGAACATTATGTTGACTGAAAGGATAGTAGTTTACATAATTGAACTCAAAATTGAAAGAGAAAGTCGATGGCAAAGTCAACATTAGGAACAAAGTTCCCTGGCCTGCAAGACATAGTGAGACTGAGGATGTGGAGGTGTCAAATGACCTTGATTTGATTCCAATCCAAGGCTGAGCAGACTGCTGCTGGTGGGTTTTGAACTACCCACCTTTTGGTTAGCAGCCTAGCACTTAACTACTGCAGTACTAGGGCTCCTTTTTACAGGTATTCCACTGCCTCCCCAACTGCCGTCAAGTGGATTGCAACTCACAGCCACACTATGGGATAGAGTAGAACTGCCCATAGGGTTTCCAAGGCTATAAATCTTTACGGAAGCAGACTGCCTCATCTTTCTCTCTTCAAGGAGCTGGTAGTTTTGAACCACTGACCTTTTGGTTAGCAGCCAAATGTTTTAACCACTGAACCACCAGAGCTCCTTCTTTATGAGTATAGAAAGTTCAAGTTCTTTAATGTTGTGGTCTTTTCCAGTGATTTCCCTACTTTTCATTTATATTTTTTAGAGAAATGTCAGTTCCAGCCTTTTCCCCTTGAGATTAACAGTAAGTATCATGTTTTCTGCCTTTCAACACCCTGGCTCAGCTTCTTCAGAAAATAGCCCAACAGCAGGAAGATTTAGAGGCAGAACACCCAACCCAGGGCAATGCACCCACCTACTCTATGGAGATACACCCCTTGGAACACCATGGGGCACCAGAGGAGCAGCATTCACGTGCAGAAAAAGCTGGACAGACAGGAGTGCATAACTAAGAAGGGCACAGGGATTGGGAGGGGGCGGTCACGGGGAAGGGAGAGGAGGAGTGTGGGTTAGGGTTCAGGACGGTAAGAGGAGAGTGAAACCACATGTACGTGAACTGTTGAATGTAAAACAAATTCTGCTCTGTAAATTTGCACTCAAAGCATGATAAAATAAATAAATAAATAAATAGCTTATATGTATCAGGATACAATTTTACATTTTGGTGTAACAATCTGAATTGCACACTTGATCCTGCCTCAGTGACTCCCCTATTAATCCAGAAGACAATGCCTAATTTCCAGTAACACTTTGAATAAAAACCAAACCAAACTCACTGCTGTCAAGTCATATCCGACTCATAGCAACCCCTCCTTGGATTTCTGAGGCAGTATCACTACGGAAGTAGATTGCCCAACCTTCCTTCCAAGGAGTGGCTGGTTTGAACTGCCAGCCTTCTGTTCAGCAGTCAAATGCCTTAGGCACTACGCCACCAGAGCTCCCAACACTTTGAATAGGAATGTGGAAATGAAATCTCTGATTTTGCAGATACATTCTCCCTAGAGACTTTTCTTTGTCTCTGAACTCAGGTTTACTCATCTTCTGGAGATTAGAGGTTCCCAGCAAATTTAGCTAATAAATTCAACCTCTAATTTTTTATGAATCTGGTTAGTTAATTTTCAAAGTACAGTACATATTTGGGTCTACCTTCCCAGTTCATTACCTATTTCAAGATTTTGTAAAATCATGATAAAGTTATTTCAAATTGAATCTTTCTTTATTTCTTTTAGAGGGTACAGACCTTAAGGAAGCTCTGAAGACTCAGGAATCTGAGGAGAAACTAAAGTATCTCCAAAAGGTAGGTCAATATTGCAGAACCAAACCAAAACCAAACTCACTGCCGTGGAGTCAGATCCGACTCATAGCGACCCTTCCTTGGGTTTCCGAGGCGATATCACTACGGAAGTAGATTGCCCCATCTTCCTTCCACCAGGAGTGGCTGGTAAGTTTGAACTGCCAGCCTTCTGGTTAATAGTCAAGTGCCTTAGGCACTACACCACCAGAGCTCCTAATATTGCAGAAAGTCATCTGATTTTCATAAAATTTCCTAAATAATCCCAATTCTTTACCATGTGTATATGAAAATTTGCCATTTCTAATGTGTCAGTTTGAGTGATTAGAAAAACCTTAGAGTTTTACTTAATCAATTTCAAATACTGATTTGTATGACTGCATTTAAAGAGAAGTTCTAAACTAATACTTAGATTATCAGATGTGATTTTATCAATCATTAGGAAATAAACTGTAAATTTAAACTTTCATATTTAAGTAACCATGTTGTTGTGTACCATCAAGTCAATTCCATCTCACAGTGACCCTATAGGACAAAATAGAACTGCCCCATAGGGTTTCCAAGGCTATAATCTTTATGGGAGCAGATCACCAGGTCTTTTCTCCAACAAAGCCCCCCTTTCAGTTAGCGACCCAGTTTTTAACCACTGCACCACCAGGGCTCATTTAAATAACTATAGAATAAGATAATGAATTAGCTACAGCAGACACATAATTGAGTTGGTAGCCAAATCTATGCAATCATCCTGGTTTGTTAACTGGGAGTCTTGTTTCTGAAGATGATGACACATATAAATCTACCTACGGGGTATAGTTGAAAGAGCATAGTATTTAGAGTCAAAATACCTAGATTTGATCCCAGCTTTTCTAATTAATTGGCAAATTACTGGATCTCTCTGAGCTTCAATATTTTCTGCTTTAAAATGAGCATATGGTGCCCACCTGTTTTTACTATGTCACCAGGTTATGGCAGGGATCTTGTAAGGATCTAATATGTGTGTTTTGCAAATCATAAACTACTTTGCAACTACTAATAGTGTTACTGAAAGTATTCTGGCTCAAAATATCAATAAATCAATCTGCCAATTTCTGGCAATAAATAAGTCTGCCTATTTCTGTCTTGTTTCATATTGAAATTGTGAATGTCCCATCCCCTCATGATCTCAGCTGCAATCTTGTTGGAATGCTCTCTAACCTATAAACTCTCTTCGCCCTGAAGACCCAGGAGCTGAATGACTTGTGTCAGCCCAAAGGGTTCTGAAACCTCCTGTGATCTAATCTTGTTATTGTTAGGATCTCTAACTCTTTGGAGATGGCTAATAAACACTTCCTTGAATGTTTAAATATTGGCTATTCTCAATCTTTGCAAAACCCCAAGGATTCATAGGAAGAACAGGATCAAAGGAAAACAGGGAAAGACAGATTCACAGGTTTTCCATCTAATAAGATACAAAACCATATACAACAGTCCAAGAACAGGAAAAATCAAATGGAGTTGACTATCTTCAAAACCCAACTCACTGCCATTGAGTTAATTCCAACTCATAGCAACCCCAATTTCCAAGGCTGTAAATCTTTATGGAACCAGACTGCCTCATCTTTCTTCAGCAGAGCAGCTGGTAGGTTTCGACCACCAACCATTATAGTTAGCAATCAAATGCCTTAACCACTTTACCACCAAAGCTCCTTGACTATCTTAATAGATCAAAAGTAAATGATTAGAGGGATGAGTCTGTCATCTAGAGCAATTTTAACTAAAGGCTGAAATTAAACACATTGATGTAGTCAAAAATCAACTAAACATGTCTCTTTTTGGCAACATCTCTTGTTTGCTTTTCATGATATAGGCAAAGCCTGTTACTCAGCAATTAATACATTAACATCTTGTTTGGTTAATGGATAAATTCTATTCCTATAACTCTTCCCTGTACTATAAAAGCAAAGATAGAGGATCTGTTTTGGCCTAATGTCTTTAATCATTGGATACATTGGCATAGCCTGAAAGGTTTATTGGAAATTCTACATAAATTACAGAACAATGCATTGGAGTTTTTGCTCATCACATTAATTCATTTTGTGGACTACAAATTAGGTGATTTGACGCAGTTAGTCAGCATTTTCTTCTTTCTTTAGGATATTATCCAAAAAACAAAACACCTCACTGCCGTCAAGTTGTTTCCAACTCAGAGTGACCCCTCCTTGGATTTAGGCTTTTTTCCCCCTCCTAAAAAGTCCTGGTACAATACACAGTTTAGGATATTACATACTGTATATTTGTACCAAGACTTTCTAGGAGGGAGAGAAAAGCCTAATTTTTAGTGAATAAAAAATCATTAAAAATTGACTTCTACAGTACTTTTGGGATTTAGTTTTCATTTTATTTCATTTTAGGAAAGAAATAGAAATTAAAAGTTAAAGACTAATGCTATTATTAATTTGTATCAGCTTTTGTCAATAAGACAATATGATGTGAGTTACAGCAGATGTTCTGCTAATGGACTATTATATGAATAGTCTTAGAGGTGATTTCCTTGCCTTGGTTCTTCTATTAATTTATTACTTACTTAATTCCACAGATATTTATAGACAACCTGCTGTGTGTCCAGCACTATACTAGATGTTGGGGATACAAAAATAAGATGTGGTCCCTGATTTCAGGCAGTTTATAATCTGGTAGGGGAGACAATCAATTAAAATCAGTAATTATGATAGATTATTATTATTATAATACATGGGAGCTCTGGTAGCATAATGGCTAAGGCACTGGACTGCTAACCAGAAGCCTGGCGGTTCAAACCCACCAGCCACTCCTCGGAAGGAAGATAGGGCAATCTACTTCCGTAGTGATACTGCCTCGGAAACCCAAGGAGGGCTCGCTATGAGTCAGGTCCAACTTGAAGGCACATAACAACAACAACAACATTATAATACATGTCTAAGCAGAATGTTATGGGAACACAATGAAGGACAACAAAATCAAGCTTAAAGGGTCAAGCAGCTTTTCCAAATGAGCTGAGTTTTGAAAGATGTGTTGCGATGGCTAGAAAAAGAGTATGCAAATCTGCACTAGTTTATCTTCCTAACATCCAAATCTGATTATGTTGCTCTCCTACTTTCATTATTTTTCCATGTTCCTCATTTCCTGCAGGATGAATACCAAACTCCTCAACATTGCATAGCATTCAAATTCCTTTACACTCTAACCATAACTTGATTAGCTTCTTGAATTCTTACCACTCTCCTCTTCTCCTTTGTCCCCTTCCCTCTCCCCAACCTAGTTTATAATGTATAGTTGGCTGTCAACCACTAAACCAAGGCACACTATGTAGCCCTCCCCACTGCAGAAGTGATGAATAGGTAAAAATATCTTTCTGTTGTGTTTAAACATACATATTGTCTTGTGATACCTGCCAAAGTGTACATTAAGCCACATTGAGTCTTGCAATGGATCCTGCCATGCAGTATAAAAAGAGGTTCTATCTGTTGAGAATAGAAAACAAAACAGCAAGCCAAGAGGAAAGAAAGAGAATGTTGTTGAAACTATGTCTTGTGAGTATATTGTTGTTGTTTTTGTTTGTTGTTAGATGCATGAAGTTGGCTCTGACTCATAGTGACCCTGTGTACAACAGAATGAAACACTGCCTGGTCCTGCACCAGGCTCCTAATCCTTGCCATACCTGAGCCTATAGTTGCAGTACTATATAGTTCAGTTCTGTTCAAACACTGCCAGTGGTGCAGAAAGGCAACCAAGAGAATCCTGCAATAACTGGATGCTCTTATAGATATTCTGAGGTATTATTATAATATAGTATTCATAACAGCTAATTTATAGAGTGCATAGTTTGTGTTATATACAGTTTAATAAACAGTTTACATGTATTAACTCATATATACAATAAAATAGCTCCTTGATGATTATTCCATTTTATCAAACAAGGCTTAAATGATTTTCCAAAGTTCCCACAACTGGTAAGTGGCAGAGCCTAGATTCATATCTCAGTAGCCAAACTCCAAAGCCCATGTCATTAACCCTATAATAGATAAACTCATTGTACTGTAATTATTGCTGACTTCTAGTGTTTTTATTCCTTCAAGTATGCTGCCAAATATTCTCAGATTTAAAACTATGTGGCTATAAAGTATGGGGAACCTGTTTCTAGCTATTTCTTCAACACCCAGAGTACTTTCATGTCTCTACCTAAATGCTCTTCCCCATTTACCTTAAAGGCCTAGTTTAAATACTAGCTCTTCTGTAAAGAGTTCCCAAGGGTCACTTGGAGACTAGGAGAATAAAGAGCTTCCTTCTCCACGCTCCCATTGCAGGTCACATATACTTTCAGAATATTTATCAGTCTCTGAACTGTATGTAGATAATTATGTTTTTTTCTATCTTACCTGCTAGATCATAGGCACCACAGTGTAACGGACTTTGGAAACAAAAAAGGGGTTTGGAAGCCTAACTTGGCCACTTACTACTTATGTGACATTAAGCAACTTATTTGGCCCTGTGAGACTCAGCTTCCTCATATATAAAAGGAAGAATGATAAAAAATACTTACCTTATAGTGTTGATGTAAGATAAAAAGCACCTGGCCATAATTTGCCCTCAACTAATGTTGATTCTCTTTTCCTCTATGAAGGCAGAAAACAAAACAAAACAAAAAAAAACCCACTGCCATAAAGCTGATTCCAACTCATAGCAAGACCCCATTGCCTTGGGTTTCCAAGGCTGTAAAGTAGATTGCTTCATCTTCCTCCCACAGAACAGCTGGTAGGTTTGAACTACCAACCTTCTGGTGAGCAGCCAAATGCCTTACCCACTATGCCACCAGAGCTCCTTTATAAAAGGAGAAGACATGTCTTATTTGCTTAACCCAGTGACTTACTAGTTATTGAAATTCAATGAATATTTGATTGAATTAATGCATAATTGAATTAATTGAATGAATGCTGTATATGAGAGCTCTGGTGGCATAAGTAATTATTTCTGTTATGTTTAGCCTTTTC